TATTCATGTTGGAAACTCCTCTCTCTCTCTCTCTCTCTCTCTCTCTCTCTCTCTCTCTCTCTCTCTCTCTCTCTCTCTCTCTCTCTGTGTGTGTGTGTGTGTGTGTGTGCAGTCTCTCTCTTTCTCACTTTCTCTCTCTCTTTCTCGCTCTCTATGTTTGTGCAGTCTCTCTCCCTCGTTCTCTCTCTCTCTCTCTCTCTCTCTCTCTCTGAGCATTCTCTCTCCCTCTCTCTCTCTCTCTCTCTCTCTCTCTCTCTCTCTCTCTCTCTCTGTCTGAGCAGTCTCTCCCTAACTCTCTCTCTCTCTCTCTCTCTCTCTCACTCTCTGTTTGTGCAGTCTCTCTCCCTCACTCTCTCTCTCTCTCTCTCTCTCTCTCTCTCTCTCTCTCTCTCTCTCTCTCTCTCTCTGTAATTTTAGATCTTTGTCTCATTCTGTCTATTTTGGGTCGATATCATTGTGATCAGCGTATGCACAGATACGACAGAGGGTCTTCTAGGACCAAGTGCGGGGAATTGGATGGGATAGACAGGCAATTAGTAGTAGGCCGGGGAGTGTTTTTTTGCACGTGGCTGCATCCGACTACCCAGCGCATAGTAGATAGTATGAAGTAAGTGATGTAGGATCAGTTCTGCTTCTCAGACTTGATGATCGGACTGGCTTAGCCTCGATATAGGTGAGGCATCCCTGCAGTTGGTGGGTCTAAATACAGTAGTGTTTGATTGCTTGCAGGGCACTCACCTCTGTGGTAGCGGAAGCCAGGGTATACGTACGAGAACGAGAGTCGGCGCTGCAAGTAGGATAAGTACGAGATGGCCTGGCTGAACGCCCTCTCTTTCGGCAAAAGGACTTTGTTCCACCCTCCTGATGAGGATCCGTCGAGGCTGCGACCGTCTTGGTGATCCTAGTCCACCACTTACTTACCCTACCAGCATCTCATAGCCCTCCCTAATCAATCACCTGGTCAAACTAACGCGCGCCCACGAAGTGCCCGCCCACACACTCTCTAATCAACACAAATGGGACGCGCCCCTAAATATCGTCAGGCGCACTCTTCCTGTAAGCTGCAAAAATGTGCCCAAATACCCTTGTAAGGGTATTCGGGCTGACAGTTTTTCGGACCTTATTAAGCGACGTCCTCGTCGTGTCGGACAATCAAGCTATAAGCACAAACACATCTTGCTGACAAGGAAGCAACCAATCCGATTCACCGGCTCGACTCCGTTTGAGGTTGTCTTATCAATCTTGCCCCGTCACGGTGTTCCACTGCCAAGGCTTCAACCTGGGTCTCCCACGTCTTGGCCCTGGAGCTAGGGGATACTTTGTTCCATACTACTGCGTACTACCCGCTCCCAGGTAGTAGGTTGATAGTCCCCTCCCTTCGTCGTAGACATCTGCAGGTTCACCGTTGGGTGTCCTGTTTAGTCATCGTCTGCGAACGGGGTCATAACTTAGGACGCGGGCCCCAACCGAGACCTTTTAAATTACAGGGCGCCTTTAGCCGCCCACATGGTAGTATCCACCATATCAGATCACAACGAACGCCCAGCCTGGAGTCTAACACAAGTGGCTTCAGGTCTCCATCTTGGCCCACCATGGAACGGTCGATCACGCCGAATCCACGGCCCACCGCGTTGCTATGTAGCGATGGTGCCCTCATTGGTTACGCAACGATAAGCAACTCTCCTATCTTGGCACCCAGAAAAGGGGTCCTGACTCTTGACCTAATCGACCCCAATGACCTTCCCTCCAGCTAAACCTCTCTGGGTGGCCGACCCTTCAAGACTTAACCTTTGGTAAGCCATGGTCCTGCTGCCAGGTTGTGTCGGCCAGCGACCCTCGCTGGGAGTTAGGTTCTACAGTTCCAGCAATGCTAAGTATAGCCCCTTAGCTTGGCCTCACAATGTGTCCCTTAGACTGACTTCTCTGTGGTCTGACACTTTCTCTCAAAAGCCTTCAGCATAACTAAAGGATCACGCACCCCTGCCCACGGGACTTCGTGGAGGGGTGACACCTTTCTCAACATTCCATCAAAATCCTCAGTAACTCCACAAGGTCGTGCCTTCCTTACTTTTATCAAAAGCAGGTAAGGTCACACGTCTTTTAGGGATACTCTCAATACTTTCCAAAGTTTCATCATAACTGTCAGAAGTTCTCATCCATCATTCTCACAAAATATCTGGTCTTTCCTCGTCAGACTTTTACAGCATCCAGTCTTCTAAGGAGGGAACATTGAGTTGTTCTTGATGGAGTTCGAACGACATGTGGGAGAGTTTGGATGGGACAGCACCAGGATGTTGAGAGAGGTGCGAGGCATAGGCGAGTGGGCGGACCTTATTGCTAAGATGGTCAGAGAGTCGTTGACCTGGCAGAATTTTCAGCGGAGAATGAAGGGTTTGCATCCGTCACCACTGGGAAGGGATGGACAGCTCATTCGATTCGACTCCACTAACCTGGGGGAGTTCCTATGGGCCTATGATCGGTATGCAGATGAGCTCGATATCCCAGAAGAGCAGAGATTGGGGAGCTTCCTTCTGTTCGTGAGGCACTATATCAGACCCTTTGTTCGATCTATCGTGGCATCTGGCAGGAACTGGGGGCACTGCAAGAAGCTGCTATGGAACTACTATACTCCAGCTCGTCAGGCAGGCGAGAGGAGAGGCATGAAAAAGAGAAGAAGGGAACCAGAGGCAGAGGAAAGGGGAACCACTCAGCAAGGCGGATCATCAGGGACTCTAAGGGAGGACAGGAGGAAGGAACACAAGTCCCACCGGCATGAGAGAGCAGGGGGGTCCGATGGTACAGGTGCACCTCCACAGCCTGCTCAGAGGGGGATGGATTGTCCTATGCCTGACGCAGAGCCAGACATGCCTCAGGAGTCACAGTTGCAGAACTAGGAGGAGGAGCAGTCTGCCCAAGAGAAGGAACTGGACAGGAAAGAGAGAGCAGCAAGGCAGCAGGAGATCAGGACCCAGCTCCGGATGAAGAACTTGGCAGAGCTGCATGAGAGGATGCAGCAAGGAAAAGGGTCTGAGGAGGTGGAGGACAGAAAGGGTAAAGGTACTTGCACGCAAGAAGAGGACCCTCCTCTGTTTTCAGAGGTCTGGATGGGTTTCGACAAGTTGATGGATGTTGCAGGGAGGTCAGGAAAGCATCACCAGTAGATGGGGGTTAAATTGGTCTCGACAGACCTACTCAACCTAAGGGGTGTGATGAGAGAAGGCTTCGCTGCAGCCAGAGCTTCAGACCAAAAGATTGGGGACAGGTTGACGAAGGTGGCACAGAAGGCCTATGGCCAGAAAGTGGATTGGGAGAAGGAAGTTGAGGACCTGAAGAAGGAGCTGGGAAGGCAAGGCAAAGAGTTGGAAGCATTAAAGGCAGAGATGGAGAAGGTTTGGGCTGAGAATGAGACCGTCAGGCAAGTCAATCAGACCCTCAACAGGGTCACCGACGCTCTGAGGGCCTACCTATGCGCCCAACAAATCTCATTTCAAGCGAAAGAGGCGGATTGGAAGAAGAGAATTCAAGACCTTGAGGCCAAGTATGCACAGCAGGCTCCCACGAGAGTGGTGGATTGGACGGAGGTCCAGAAGTTTGAAATCAAGGAATAGCCCGCAAAGGAAGTCTTCAAGAGGGAGAAGGAAGTAGAGAAGGCGGACCATTAGGAGGGTGAGGAGATCCCTCTGATCGACAAAGAGATGTTGGAGCAGCGAGGAGCACTAGCGGAGAAGGGCGCAGAGGTCGAAGAGTTTGAGTGACGATTGTCAGCGGGCCTGACACTTGGACATGAGCCAACACTACAAGGGGAGGGACCGCCTGCTGAGACAATGAGAGCTGAGGAAGTTCCACCTACAACTCAGGGAGAGACGTTGGGACAGCAGGGGGGTCAGGAGAGCGTGGGCCAGACCATGACTGAGACTGAGCAGAGAGCAGACTTGAAGGGTTGTCAGGAGTCAACTATGCCTCAGGAGGTGCCGGTTACTGCAGATTTGCGGGATGCATTGGGATCTTGGGCCACCGGGACAGAGTAAGAGAGGCATGTTGGTGAGCAGGTGATACGAGCAGATGACAGAGCAGCCTGCCTCACTTCCGCAGAGGTCCCCCAACAGGAGGTTACAAGCAGGATCTCGACAGTCCCGTCAGCAGTACCCTCGCTGGAAGGAGAGACAATGTCACAAAAGAAGCTGGGTAAATGTTTCTATTGCAAGAAGGGCAAACATCGATCTAAGGATTGCCCCAAGAGCCTCAAGGACGAGGCAGATGGTCTACCAAGAAGTCATCTGTGGTTTGGAGAGACAGAAATGGAAACCTGGTCCCTAAGACTCGTGATGGGGTGAGGGCGCAGTTGTATAGGCAGTTGCAGGAGGTCATGAGTGATCAAGAGTAGGATTTTTCAATAAGGTCCGGAAAGGTCTAAGTCTAACATATGCGAGACTTCTTTGACTCTCAGACTGATGGTTGCTTGTATATAAGGGGATGCATGGAGGATTGGATCAGACCCATGTACATCAGTAGGCTGAGCCAGTGGTGAGATGTTACATCACATTATAGACTTGAGAACCTTTTTCTGTACGTAAGATAACCCTGACTTTGACTATGTTTCTTTTCTGCGCTAATGTGTTGTAGAGTGCTAATACCCTTGTAGAATAACGCTCGTGAGTAAGGAGTGACTGTCGAGTTCCGATACTTCGACACTTGGATACCTGGATTTTTTGTTGGTTACCTGAACTCTCTAAGAAGGGCAGGGGCCTTTTCGTTCATTGCGGGGCCCCATGTCCTGGGTGTATATGCGAGTCTCAAACGCCGTCTTTGTGTTGTGTGTGTTGTGTCACATTCACTCTCAGTTGGTTGATTTGCCCATATGGATGATGGTGTGATGAGATGAATATTATGAAAGAAACTGATCTGCGCTTTCTTCCACTGTACTTACGTCTCCCTGCCCCAATGACAAGTGGAGCCGGAAGTATAAGGGAAGTGGGTGCTTCCAGATTATTGAGAAAGTGATGACAGGATACATTTTGTTCAGATGGAATGATGATAAATGGGAAGATCACAACCAAATTTGTGTTTTTTGTGTCTGGCTCGGAAGAGAGAGAAGGAAGTCCAAGTCCTCTCTCCTGGTCCTCATCTGCGTCCTTTGTCGGGTTGCCCCAAGTGGTGTCAAGCCTGCACAACAAGGACTGGACGAACAAAAGCACACAGAAGGTAAGCGATGTCAGACAAAACACAACAGAAGACAGACATAGCCCTCCCATGACTATCCCAATTACCTACCTATCCACACATATGCATACATATTCATACACACGCGTGAGTCTAATCACTACCTATCACGCTATCCTACTGAGAGCAATATCCGAAGTACTCAAAGGATGACTCTAAGTGGTGAGGTCCCTGCTCACCTCGTCTCGAGCAACAAACTTCTTCAGCCTCGAGCCTGACACCCAGTCCTTCCATGCCGTCCCATTCAGTTCCTCAATCTGGTAGGCACCATGTTCACCACACCCGGTGACCCTGTACGGTCCCAACCACCTTTTATCCAACTTCCGAGACCACTGCTTCTCCAGGGACGAGTCATACAATAGCACAACGTCCCCCACCTTGAGAGGCTCCTTTCTTACCCTCGCCATCTTATCCCACCGGAACTTGTCCTTGGTACGGCTGTCCACTGTCCTACTTGCCGCTTCCTCAATCCTGTCCTCAATAGCTCCGATCTGTCGTGCTCTCAAATCCAGCAGTTCGTCAAAGGTAAGATCAGTCTCAAGGTCCTATCGCCTCCAGGTTTTCAGGAAACTCTCGATAGTAAACGTGGCGTGCCTGCCATACCATAGCGTAGCTGGTGCATAGCCAGTGCTTCTCCTAACGGTGATGTTGTCCACGAAGAAAGCGACCCTTAGAAAGTTTGACCACTGGTTAGGTCTGCCATCGGTCCACTTGGCGAGAAGGTTTGTGATGGTGCTATGTCCTCTTTCCACAGGTGCATTAGCCTGAGGGTGCGCTGCAGTAGTGTACTATGAGATCACCCCATACTTCTTTAGTAGCGTTTTCACTTCTGCACATGTGAATTCGGACCCTCTATCCATCATAAACCTGAAAGGGATAACAAAGATAATACTCTTTAATGCATCGAGCCAGCGTCTCGCCAGTCTTCGTGCGAATGACACTGCCATCCACAAACCCGGAGAGATTGTCCCGCGCATCAAAGATGAAGTTGTAGCTCCCTATTCCCTGCGACATTGCCAACAGATCCAGATGCACGACGACTCCAACTTCACGGACGTACCTTGGGTGAAGTGGCTCTCTAGGTCTAAGAGCAGACCGTTCTTGGCATGGTACATGCCATCCCAATAGTACAACTCGTGGATCTTCAGGTATGTCGTATCCGCACCTCTGTGGCCACCTGCCGTACCGTCGTGCAGTGCCGCCATAATGTCGATCTGGCGAGCGACGCCACAGACTACTCTCCTGGGGTCCCTTCCTTTGCTCCTCATGAACAGATGGTCATCCCTCACCAGGAAACTAGGCCTCATCTTCAGAACTCGCGCGCAGGCATCCCTTTCCCTCATCTCGCACGAAAGAAGCATGTCGAGTTCAAGGTATACTCCCTCATACTCCTCTGCTCGAAACGCTTCCTTGATCTTCCCCTCTTCGACGAGGTCATCATCTTCTCTTTCGTGGATCACATAGTCGCCTTCCCCCGACTCTACCCCCTCTTCCTGATCTAGCACCGTATTCCTGACTGCCTCCTCCTGAAGCAGCGCGTTTGCCAATAGGTACACTCCACCTATCGTCTTCTCCTGCTTGCCCACCTGCAGTGCCCCATCCTCAATCGTAAGTGAGTCCTCATGAAGTTGGTACTTGCCTGCTAATGCCAGCTCCATCATCCAATCTACGCCCGACCCTCCCCAAGAATCTTCTTCAATATAGGGCTTGAGGACCAAGTCTGACCGTCGTGCATGTCTTGGAGGCGCAAGCCATACAGGTCGTCCAGGAGTAACATACTTACCCACGGCCAATGCCCAGGAGTTGATGTGAAGTCTCACATCCTCCTCGCTGTCCAAGAACCCGTCGACTTGTGGAGTATCCTCGATCACTCCTTGATTTTTCTTGTCCCAGTCGACTCGGCTCAGCCTGTCCGCCCGATTCTTGTTCCCTGGAATTCGCTCCAAATCGAAGTCGACCATCCAGATGTACGTCAGCCACCTGGCGATAGTTGGATCTGAAAGAGCGAAGTTCTTGAGAGAGTCGGTCAGTGCCGTAGCGTCTACCCTTAGTACAAACTGGCTGCCGAAAAGCTAGTTTCTGAAGATTCTCAAGCAGTGAAGAACTGCCAAGGTCTCGCGCTTGAACTGAGAGTAGTTCCTTTCCGATGTGTTGAGCGTCTGACTCTCAAATCTCAATGGTCGTTCTTCTCCGTTGGAGTCTCGCTGGATCAACACTCCTCCTAAAGCAGTCGACCCTGCATCCGTCTCTATAATGAAAGGTCAAGTCATTGCTGCCGCATGATCTGGTACTCCCAGTACTAGACCTCCTTCTTCAAACTCTTTCTTTAGATTTTCTATTATCGATTCTTGCCTTTCTCCCCATTCCCAATCTTGTCCCTGACGTACAAGCTTCTGTAACTGCTCCATCTTTGCCGCAAACCCCTTAATAAAAATTCTTCAAAACCCACACGTTCCAAGAAAGCTCCTTACCTCTGTGATGGTCTGGAACGGTGTTGGCCACTCGAGAATCTTGTTAGTCTTCTTAGTATCTGGTCGACGACCCTTCTCGTCGCACACAAATCCTAAGATAGTGGCCCCGCTCATGCAGTGGCTCGATTTTGATCTACTGGCAGTGAGGTTATGCTCCTTCAGCAAGTGTAGGACCTTGCACAAATCTTGCACATGATCTCAGACGAAGCGCCTAATCCTTGGCATCACCTCCTGCTCATCCTTCTCTTTGGGCCCTTTCACGGCCAGATCATCAATGTATGGCTGCGTGATGTGAGGGCTTATGGGCTTCATTGCCCTCACCATGTGCCGCTGGACCATGGCGACCGCGTTCGTCCACCCTTGCGGCGCAGCGTTCATGTGGATCAACCCTCGAGGGGTATGCATGGCGGTCATAGGCCTGTTTGATAGGTACACAGGAAACTGGTCATAGCCTGAATACAAGTCAATGAGTGATATAATGGCCTTCCCGACGCATGCCTCTGAAAGCGCATCAGCGTTGGGGAGACCACCTGCGTCCCTCACTGTTACAGCGTTCAGGCCCTGCAAATCCTGTACCCACCTCAGAGTCCGATTGGGTTTGATAAAGCAAAACCACGGGGATGCATACTGTCCACTTGAGTAATTTGCCACATGAGTACGAATCTTTCCATCAAGGTAGTTAACTACCTTCTCTTCATCAGCTGGATTGGGGTACCGTGCACCTCGCAAGTTCCATGGCTCGTGCGACATGGTGTGTATCCTGATCATAGGGGTGATATCCACGTCCAGCCGCCCCCTCTCATCATCACTGAAGGCATATGCAGCATGTCTTCCCCTCATAGCCAGGCTCCCATATAATCAGCGTCTTTTCTGTGTCGAGAATGATACGGCATTGCCCATTCTCCGCTCTCTTTCGCATCTTCCGTATCAGCTCTCGTTCCCGCTCGTAATATACTTCCTGCTCTTCGGTGACGAGTATGGGAACAAGGCGACACTTTTTATCTACCCTTTTGTACCGCCTTTGTGCACCTTGCTTGAGCCCACCCCTAGAAAAGACCGAGTTGCGCTTTGGGGTTGTGCTCCACTTGTCCCACCTGTCTTCCCAAACGTTCGATATACCAGTTTCATCTCCCCTGCACCCATTCCCTCCACTACCCTCTCTTTCAAGGCCTCCACAGCCTCAGGGTCTGCCATCCCATAGGTTGACACTATGTTCATAGCATCGCCTATGTTTGCCAAGCTTAGAGTCAGCGCCTTGGCTCTCTTACCTCCTCGAGCCTGCTGTTCTCTAACCTTAGCCTTTCTTCTTCTGACTCTTCAATGGTGAATGTACCGGGGTTGGGCCGGTTCTTTACGCTCTTGGGTCCTGTGTTCTTGCAAGTAATGACCTCGTAATTCCCACATACGGGGTCGCACAGGACGAGGAACATAGTTCCATCATGTTTGTTGAGGATAACCGTCTCTGTCCGACTTAGGAATGACCTACCCAATAGGATAAGGTGGTCCAAGTCAGGCATCACAAAGAAACTTGTTACTTTCACCTTCCCAATCTCTAGAATCACAGACGATGCGGTCCCTATGAAAATCGACCGACTGTTCGCTCCCATCAAAACCCCGTTGTCGGAGCGATCTGAGTCTACCTTCATCCCTAGATGCATAGCGTGTTCCTCTTTTATGAGGTTCATCTCCGCGCCACTATCTATCATCGTTGTGCATGTCTTCCCTTTCACCACAACGTCGAGGCAGCCACATGCGACGGACTTCGAGTCCATCTTAGTACCCGTTTCATCCCACTCAGCCTCTTTAGGGATTATAGTCCCTAACCGTATGTTGGCTACCATCTTCCTGGATAGTCTTGCTCTTAGCTCATCCCTAAGTCTAGGCGCTGAGACCAGGACATCCTTCAGGTTCATAAAATGATTATGACCTTCGAGTATCCTGTCCATTATCTCGTCCACCCTGACAGCGTATTACTTCTTTTTTTTACTTCTTGTGCCTTGTTTGTATTAGGTTTGGCACCCCTCTTTTTGGCTCTTTGCTCGACGCTCTCATCCTCTTCCTTCCTCAACCTATCATCTTCGTCATCCTGTCCCTCTGGAACGTCCACTACCTCTTTCTCTCCACTGGGTCCAGGAACATCCTTGGCCAGTTCTTCGGAGCTCACCGGCCCTTTAGCCCTCGTGCTGACAGCATGTGGCACCCTCCCCGTCCTGGAGGGTGGTCTGTAGGTCATTCCGGACCTTGGCGTCGGCCCCGAAGTCGTGACGTTTGGCAGGTTACCAGATCCTCCTTGCGACCCTGGACCTAGGTCGTAGAGGTATACTTGTGGTTCCTTACCTTTCCACTCCGTGGCTTTTTCACACATATCAATCAGCTTCTGTTGGTACCGCCCGACTTTGTCTATCAGGTCCTCCATTCTTTCCATTGTCTGTCGGACCGTCCTCCAGTAATCCTCCCCTGTCTCAACGTGTCGCGGCCTGTTCCAGCAGTCTTCTTCTACCTCATCGTCGGACTCTACTATGATTGGTTCTTCCTTGATAGTGTCGGCCTTCCTTTCTTGCTTCACTTCTTCATTCTCTCATACCTCTTCCACCCTGAGGTCACTACGGACCTCTTTCTCCTGCCCTATCCGAAACATGGCCGGAGGGGCGGGTGGTTGACCTGCCTCGGCTCGTCGTAGGGCCTCCTTCCTTGTCCCGCCTAGGGTCCTTGGATCAAGGTGGTACCCCCACTTGTCATACATATCCCCATCATAGTTGGTGCTGATTAACCCTTCGTCCTAATCATTCCTCCTGACATGGCAGAACTTGATAGTGTGGCCTTTCTGCCCGCAGTGCCAACAAATAACATTCCTCTAGTCTATTCTACATCTGCCAGCACCTCTTCCACCTGCTGGACCACCCTGACTTCCGGATGCAATCCAGTCCCGATTTCCCCCGCCTGTAGCGTTACCACCACCATTTCCTCTGCCGTTTCCTCCTCGGCCACCATTTCCTCGCCCTCAGCCCCATCCTTGATTTTGTCCGCGTCCGCTGCCTTGGTTGCTATGTGATCCTTGTGGGGCTGACTGCTGAGGTTGGTTTGGCGGTGGATTTGGGTGGCTCACTTGCTGAGCTTGGGGACCTGGGCAGCCGCAGGAAGCAGTGCTCATCGGCGGTCCGGCACATGATCCATGCAGCCCACTCATCGGCCATGGTGCATATGAGCAGTGCCCATGCCAGTGACTTGAAGCTCCACAACCTGGCCATGACCCATAGTGTGTTGGTGCAGCCTGACTGGGCGACTCAGGAGGTGGCATGGCTACAGCTTGCGGGACCTGACCCCTCCCTGAACCTTGCCCCCCCGGAGCCAAGTTCCTTGCCTTTCTCTGAGCCTTTGTCAACTTTTGTGGCCCAGACTCCTCTTTTTCTTCCTCTTCTTCTTCCTCCTGCACCGCTGCCTTCTTGGTTTTCCCTTGGGCCTGTGGTGCCACCATAGTTTTTTTTTTCACCTCCTTTTCTGCGTCAAGCTGGGCCACCGCGTCCTCTATCATTTTCTTGAAATCGCGTCCATCACTCGTGGTGGCATCCAAAGCCTTCCTCTTCTTCCTAGCTTGTCTCATCTGAAAAATGTCTACTTGGTCCAGTTCTCCTTCTATCACACCTTCCTTTATGGCGGCCCAAGTCAGTTTCTTTCTTGGCGCAACCTTCTTGGTTAACAACAAGGCCTCCCAATTTTTAAAGTGGCCCAGGAAAGTGGCACACTGTTCATCTTCCGCCAACCCTGGGACTTTCTTTGCCATCTTCTCGAACGCTGTGGCGAAGGCCCCTACCGTGGAGAACTCATCCCGCTGTAGCATCTCCAAGTCTGGCTTAGTTAGCAGGTCATCCCCTAACTTGAATCGCCTTTGCATCTTAGCCTTGAACTTTGCCCAGTCTCCCCCTGCTTCAGCAACTACTTTCATTACTTCGGGCCGGGTTTCCCACTAGATATATCGAGGTAGGAACTTAAACTTATCTACCTCAGGCACCTCGGCTGTAACCTGTTCCAGCAGCTCCAGCCATTTCCACACCCTCTCTCCTTCAAAATGGAAGATATCAACCTTTGGTACCTGTAGTCGTGCCAACTCCCTTTTTTCAAGGGCCTTGACGAAGTCTGCTGGCGTAGCTGCCGGACCCCGCTCGATTCCGTCTGCATCCGGCATCTTTACCTTCTTTTGCTAACCAACTTGACAGGAGTAACAAGGGATAGACCGGTAAGCAGTTCGACAAGTTCCAGAGGGCTTGCCCTACATCATCTTTGACCACTCTACTTCTAGGTGTAGCTAACCGCTATACCATTATTCATTCACACCCAAGATACAACCTTTAATCGCACTATATATCGCTCAGTCTTATTATGACTCCATATACAACCCTCTTATATAAGCCAATCCAACCTATAACCTTTGTCGTTTTGCCTAGATCATCAACCTGCACTTAACCTGGGTTCGTTCTCTTACGGACCCCGGTAGGCACCCGAGATCCCCGGCAACGGCGCCACCTGTCGTGCGCATCGGTCCCACACGGGGACCCTC